GAACTGTTTGCAGTTGATGTATGTATGTGTGTACACTTACCTGTGCATATATTAAGAAAAAGGAGAGGGGGAAAAAAAAGAGTTTCCCAGCGCTGATCTCTTTTGTGAATAATTTACTTCAATCTAGAATATGTAGAAATGCCATCCTCTTGTGGTTGTGTTTTCTTAGTTTGGTTCTTGGGGTTTTTGGCACTGAGTCACTTTTCCAGTTTTTGGAGGCAGGTGTTGATGGGCGGTAATATTTGCTGTTAACACTTCCTTAAAACTTTCCCAAAAATGTGCATTCTGCCAACTACACATGCTACCTTATTTCCTGTGGCAGCAAGCCTCTATTTCAGGCCATTGTCTTATTCAAGCAGATCAACACTCAAGGCTCTTCACTTTGGCTTTGGAAGATACTTCCTTAAAATAGATGATGGAGGAGAGCCTTTTAAACTCCTTCTACTTCTGTGGCCCATTTGAAAAACACAGTCTTTCATCTTTTGGTTTTCACAAGTCCTTCTTGGAAGTATCTTGTTCTGTTTGGACCTCTTTCACATCCTCCTCCATCCTTGGGTTGCTTTTCTCTAGTTAAGAGAGCTTCTCCATCACAGGACTTCTTTATGGGCCATGGGGCAAGGGAAATCTTCTGAGATGTATTTCTCTTAGTGTGCAGCACTTTAGTGTCTTCTATAATTAGGTATTGCAGAAGTTTACTTAGTCTTGCGTTGTTATAATAAAAAACAGGAGAAAAGTAATTTCAAAGCCATCCTAAATCACAGTTGTGGGAGCTGGAAATAGTTTGGCCATGTTTGGTAGTTTAAAATAAAGTTTGCAATTCATACATGGGATAAGAAAATGGTTGCTCTTACTTGGAAGGAGCTTCAAGAACTGATTTCTCACAGAGATTTGATGGCATCTTTATTAGCCAGTTGTTGAGTATTTTAATTGGAAATGTGGAACTAAGCTTCCATGATTGATAAGTATGGGTTTGATTCCTTGGGGAGTTTTTTGGTTGTTTGTTTTAAAGCTTCAGAAGTGCATTAACTGCACTGAAGATGTGTCAGCAGTTTAGGGGGCACTGCAAGTACCAGGCAGTAGCTTTTTGTGCCAAGGAGGCTTTTGTTGTGTTTCTTCTTTTCTTTCTTCCACTAGAAATATGCATTTCTCTGTAATAAAGAAGTACAGATAAGTTTCCAGATATTTGAAATAGGTACCTACAGCATATTTCACATGTCAGTCTAGGTGCCCTGTGGAAAATGAAGGCTTGAGGGAGATTAGTTCTTTATTTTCTTCTTGTTTTCTCCATGTAGAGCTTTTGGGATTAGAGGCTTCTCACTTCTGTAACATCCTGAGGAAGTGACAAGTTTAGCTTTTATTTTGTAGCTGCTCCTCCTGTTTAGACCCTGAGCTTGTTACAGCTTTGTTCTCAGTCAGAACTGCTGAGTTTTTGGCCAGTCTCATTCCAGAAATCTCTGTTTTGAAAGTTCTTTCAGTGAAAGAACTTTCAATGAGTTACAGGGAGTGTGGCAAAGACTCGGTGTTTCTTGGAGCAGACTATAGAAGCCCCAGCAAATCTTCATCTCTAACTTACCTCATCTCTCTAGACCTGCTTCTGTCCTCTGTCATCTTTTCATTGTCTTTCCAACCCCTTTCCTTGCTTACCTGGCAATGCATACATTTAAATTAAACATTCCAGAGCCTAACAAGAATAGTGTAGTTACACTGTGTAGGTTCACTACATGGATAGCAGAAAATCTGAACCAAAGCAAGAGAAAGCTCTCAATTTTCTTCCCTTATATGCAGAAAAGGAAATTTTTGAGCAGCAGCACAACACAGTGTTTACAATGTCACTGATTTTCCTCTAAAGACACCTTGCAGACATGGACAGTGAAATTCTGTGAGGGGGACTGCAGGTGCTCCTTTTAAGTCCTTTCACTTCAGTCTAATGCCATGAGTGTAAGTTACTGCAGCCCAGCACTTTAAACCCAAGTTTAAAATTTGTGTTACTGCCTTAGTTAATTCTGGAGATGGTCTACTAAAAATCACCCATCACTGCCATTAGTTTCAAGTATGTGAATGTTGTAGGGCTTTTGTGCATCAGTTTTGCGTGTGTACTGCAGGAAAAAATGTCTGGGGTTTGATTTTTGTGGCCTCTGAACTTGCCCACAGAGCAGGGCTGTCCATGGGGCTGGCCAGTCAGTGTTGTGTTTGTAATCTGTATGCAGATGGCAGAGCTTTAAGCTGTATTAAAACTGCTTGCATTAGTAACATTTAATTGTGGCTGAATTTATTCCTTGTGTTAACATATCGGAGTATTCAACATTTATTGCCCCGTGAGAAACATACAAATACACTAAATACTAATTCATCAAAAGTATAGCGTTTCATATTTATTTTTAGTTTTTATTGTTTTGTGGTTTTTTTTGCAAGATACTAATTGTAGCATTGTCTTGCTGTACTAAAGGTGCTTTTTTTGTGTGTGTGTGTGGATAGTGCATGTCTGTGCATACTGTGTAGACCATATTGCATGTTATTGATGCATGTTTGAAATTTGTTGTGTCCTTCAAGGCATGATAAGTGGCTATCCACCGGTGCTGCCACCTTTGCAGGGCCCAGTTGATGGCATTGTTAGCATGGGCAGCATGCAGCCACTTCACCCAGGGGTGCCCCCACCCCACCAACTCCCGCCAGGTATGCCAGGTATCCCAGGCATCCCACCACCCGGTAAGAGCCTCATCCTCATTCCCTCTTTATTTCATTGTCATGTACTTGGTTTGACCCATTGTTACAGGAGTTCTCTGCAGCTTGTTCTGGTTGTGGCTTTGGTTTGTGAGCAGCAGCACTGCTGAATATGAAGGGTGTGCAAAACACTGACACTGCAGCATGTCCTGTAAGCCCTGAGAGAAAGGGTACTGGAGAAACTGGTGCTGCTCCAGCAGGAGTTTTGTTCCAGGCAAAAAAAGCCTTGGTAACTGTACTTGAGTTTATCAGAAGTGTGAAAAGGTGAAATGAGCCTTTTCATATCCCTGTGTCATTTGAACAGCATCTCTACACTCATCCTTTTCATATTTGAAGTGGGCTTCTAAATAAAATTTATTGTCCTCATTCCTTACCAAAGTCTTTTTCAGTGTGTTAAGTCAGACTGCACTGAAATGAGCCTGAGCCATGTAAGACTCCTGGGCCACCGGGCAGTGATGTGTCACTGTGAAACAGTGTTCAGATTAAAGCTTGCTGATAGAACAGTGACTGGAAACATGTAGGGACAAGGTGAATTCTGTATTCTCTGTGGCCAAATTTTGAATTGATGTTTTGAGAGCATTTCTACTGCATTTGCTGTATTTTTGCCATTTTTGATGAAAAATAAGGCCTAAATGAAACAAATATTGTCCAAATGTTAATGCCATTAACATGTCCCAATTAAGGGGAAAAACATTCATCTGCCCTCTGATCCTGTTTCCTGCTGATTCATATTTTACCTCTGATAACTCATGTGCCTGTGAAAAAGATTGCTATCCCTCTGTTCAGCAGTAAACAAGCTGTGGACAAAATGGTCTCATTTGCCTCCTCCTACCCCCTTGCAACTGTGTTTATCAGAAGCTCTGTTAAGAATTTTACTTGTGCATAAATTCTGTGAGTTGGGGAGTTTTTGTTTGCCTGCCTGGTGTTTCTAAAATCCATCAGCACTACCCTGCAGCTTGGCTGGATTGTGGATTCCCTGCCTTGGCACCTAGAGGGAGCAGCACAACAGCTGTGCAGTGACACTTAGCACACATCACCCGAGCCTGTGGGAGGTGAATCCAGGACACTGCATCCCTCTGAAGGGCTGTTCCCACTGCCTGGGCTGGATGTTTGTGTTTAAAGCTGACAGGATGTGGATTAGCAAAGAAACAATGTCTGGGAGTGCAGGACCACACATGAAGTGGTGCTGAACTGGGCACAGCAGGCTGAGGGTGAAGCTGTGCTCTGATGCTGGGAAGGGGAGGGTGCCCTCCTCCAGAGGTCTTCCTTCCCTTTGAACCAAAACAATTCCACAGATTGTGTTACCAGTGTTTTTCCCAGCTTCTGACATGCTGTTGGTACAGATGCATATAAAATGGGAGCTGTGATCAAACGGAAAGTGCATTGAAAAACACTCTAGTGAGTGAAACTCAGTAGGATGTCCTTTGATCACTGATACAGAAATCATGCATTTAATTCATGTAAATTAAACCCTCAGGAAGAGCACAGTTAATCTGCAGCTTTTCCAATGAATGAACATGAGAAGTGGCACAAACAGAAAGGAAAGCAGCAGCAAAAATAACTTCCAAGCATCTGTATGTCAGATGTCAGGAACTGCATGACTCTCATTTAGATCTGTACATTTTTGTATGTAAGACTGACACAGTTGTGCTGCACTCTATGCAGTAGGGAGAAGTCCCAATATGCTTAAGAAAAACAGCTTTTATTTTTTTGACATTGATTTCAAATATTCATTCTTCTGTATTTAAGGCTGTTGAAGCTTAACCTGCAAGTTGCATTTTGTATTAGTGCGATCTAAGAGAATTTGTGGAAAGGCTTGAATTTCATTGAGCTGTGAACATGTTTTACAAAACTGAACACAAGGAAATGTTAAGTGTTGCTAAAGCAGATCAGCATTTCCTTTCTTAAAGGAAAGGACTTCAGGAAGATCCTGTCAAGCTAAAGGTCTATATTATAAATGAAAAGATGCAGTCAGGCAATCACTAAGTGACATGAAAAGCACCTGAAAAGCAAAACTTGTTCACTTTGCATTTCTCTAACTAAAATAATTCAACAGGCTGCATCTCAGTGTTGGGTAGTTGTCATGTTGGCTTCTTTTTTTTCATTCAGAGACTTGTGAAGTTTTTTACTGGGGGTGAGGGGGATATTTGAATGTTGTACATCTGCTTAAAATAACTGTGAGCAGTGATATCAAAGTATAAATTCTTGCTATTGAAGACCAAAGAGGTATTTGTCACTGCTCTGAAGTAAGACTAATTATTTTATATTTTGAAATATAGGTGTTATAGGCCAAAATGTGTCCCCTATGGTAGGCACTCCAGCACCAGGAGCAAGTCCTTTTGGACAGCAGGTGAGTAATTTTTTGCATTATTATGAGGCTCTAAGGCTCAGATTTGGCATTTGAGCAACATCCCAGTTCAGACATGTAGAGATGCACATAGGCTTTCCCAGGGAGAGCAGGAATGAAATGTTCTGATGTGTTTAGAATCAGTTAATATATTGCACTCAGAGTATGTCTGTATTTGATGGCTGAATTTTTATTACACTCAGGAGTTTGGTCCAGTGAGGTAACTTCAGTGTAAACAAGGCAGTGTTTTGTCTTAGTTTTCTACTAAACTGAGTCATTCTAGCATAGTGTGAAACTGCTGATAATTTAGGTTTTGCATGCTTTGTGACACAGAGAGGACGCTGCCCGTTTTATCAGCTCTTGATTAGTAGGTAAAAATTATTAAAATACTTATATTTGACAAGCTAATGAAGCAGATGTTCACTGGCAGCTCAGAATTTATGAGTTTGGGTAACTGTGATGATCGGATGTTTCTTCTCAGTGATTAATGCAGATTAACTGTTCAGAACATTCCCAATTTTACTGACCAAATTTTTGCATCATAAAGAGAAATGTGGTTCTGGCTTGAGGGTGTAAAGAAAAGGATGGAGAGTGGCTATGCAAGGGCAGATAGTGGTAGGAGGCAGGGGAATAGTTTTAAACTGAAAGAGGAGATGTTTAGGTTAGATGCTGGGAAGAAGTTGTTTATCCAGAGGCACTGCCACAGGGTGCCCAGAGAAGCTGTGGCTGCCCTGCCCCTGGAGTTGTTCAAGGCTGGGTTGGATGGGGCTTGGAGTGACCTGGTCCAGTGGAAGGTGTCTCTGCACATGGCAGGGGTTGGAATAGGATGAGCTTTAAGGCCTGTTTTAACCCAAACCATTCTGTGATTCTATGAGTACCAGAAGTTAAGTGGTAAAATGTTGATGTCATGACATTGAATTATTCCAGACCAGGGGATGTCTGTCCCAAGAGTTCTCAGTGCTGCTGGTTAATCACAGTGGTGGGAATTCTTCTGTGTGACTGGGAATTTTCCTGCCTGAGATTTTTGCCTGACACAGTGATTCTGTGGAAATAACCTGGTTGTTATAGGATCCATATCAGTTTGGATTAGATGTTTTAGAGTTAAATTTTGCACTTCACAGACCACAGTATTTCAGATCAAATTGGAGAAAGCATGAAATAAAAAGGAGATAAAAGGTGTAATTAAGGTTAGAGTAGATATGGTGATGATAACCAGATTATATTTACATAAATCAGAAATATGAAGAATATCTGTTGAGTATGAATGATTGGTTTGCACTCCCTTTATTGTGCATCTCTTGGCCAAAGTGTGCATCTCCAGGGAAATTTCCTCAGGCTTTTGCACATAGCCTTAGTTGAAACTCCATTCGTGAGGATGCCCTGAGGCTGGGGTGTTCCTGCAGTGTCCCCTGTGTGACCCCGGGCTGGTTTCCTTTCAGATGGGGATCCTGGGCCCGCCGGGGCAGCAGGCGCCCCCGCCGTACCCCGGGCAGAGCCCCGCCAGCCAGCCCGTCATGCAGCAGCCCAGCACCCCCATGTTCGTCTCCCCTCCACCAAAGACACAGAGGCTCCTCCATTCTGAAGCCTACCTGAAATACATTGAGGGGCTCAGTGCTGAGTCAAACAGCATCAGCAAGTGGGACCAGACCCTTGCAGGTAAGGCTTTGGGTTCCTCGTAACCTGTTATTTTTGCTTTCGTAGAAAATGCCAAATGCATCTGCTGTTTGCTTATTGTGAAAAATGCATATGTTATGATTGGCTTTTTGCAAATATTACAATGAATATTATATGTTTAATGTTAGAAAGTTATTCTCTTAAGTAGTGTGCTAAATACAGTTTTAGGTTCCAGTATAATGTTAAAATAGAGACTGTGTATGTGGGGGAAGTTTTTTTTTACAAATGAGATACTCGCTTCAAGGAACACCTAAATCTTCCACAGGAGAGGAATTTATGGCTTCTTATCAGAAGAAACTTAATTTCTGTAGGCCTTGCTCAGACTCAAAGATGCCATAGGGATTAAAGGAAACAGTTGACATACAACAGACAGAGTTTCTTGTTTTAAATAGAATGTATGCATAACCATGAAGGATATATGAATATGCAACAAATGTATTGTTTCAAGGGTGATTCCCTTGTTTACAAGACTTAGTGTCCAAGAGCATCCGGACATCCATAATTCTTTGCATTTTATTGTCTTGTAATTGTCCTAACTCTAAACTTGATTACTCTAATTGTATTATTATTTTTATAACCATTTTATTATTATTAAACTTTTAAAATTTTTAAAAACCAAGTGATTGGTGTTTTTTACACTTACTAAAACATACATGTGTAATTAATTCCTAATGACAGATCAACAGGCTGAGAATGTATGTGTTATTTACAGGCAAATTCCACCAGTGTTGTATAAACCTAAGAATCAATAGTATGGGCTTAAATACTAGGAGCAAAAGCAGAATATCGTGTATTGTAGAGTTTTGCATGCTTTGTGACACGGAGAGGATGCTGCCCATTTTATCAGCTCCTGATAAGTAGGTAAAAAATACTTGTATTTGACAAACTGATGAAGCAGATGTTCACTGGCAGCTCAGAATTTGAGTTTGGGTAACTGTGATGATCAGATATTTCTTCTCAGTGATTAATGCAGATTAACTGTTCAGAACATTCCCAATTTTTCTGACCAAATTTTTGCATCATAAAGAGAAATGTGGTTTTGGCTTGAGGGTGTAAAGAAAAGGATGGAGAGTGGCTGTGCAAGGGCAGATAGTGGTAGGAGGCGGGGGAATAGTTTTAAACTGAAAGGGGAGATGTTTAGGTTAGATGTTGGGAAGAATATTTGCCTTTTTCTAGAAGAAAGCATGAGGTAATTGGAGCGCTTGTTGTTTTTGCAGCACGGAGACGAGACGTGCACCTGTCCAAGGAGCAGGAGAGCCGGCTGCCCTCGCACTGGCTGAAGAGCAAGGGCGCTCACACCACCATGGCCGACGCGCTGTGGCGCCTGCGGGACCTGATGCTGCGCGACACGCTGAACATCCGCCAGGCCTACAACCTGGAGAACGTGTAGGCACAGCACGCTCCTGCTCCAGGAGCCACGGGACAATAGCTGGTTTAGTTACCGGGTGGGAAGAGATAACCTACAATAATTTGTATTGCATTTTACTGTACATTGCAAGACCATTTTTATATAAGGACACTTTTAATAAGCATATTTCACTTTTTGTTATATTAAGTTGACTTTATCAAATACACGGATTTTTTGCATATGTTTCCTTTGTTTGAAAGGCGATTTCATAATTGGTTGAGTGTAGTCAAGGATTCATCTTTCTTATACTTTATTGCTGAGAATCTGATGCCATTGTTTTTATATTAAAAAAAAAAAAAGGAAAACAAAGTATTTACAGATTGATACAGTGGAATGTGAATTAGTCATAGTTTACATCCTATAAGAATGTGTGTACCTGTGCTTGTGTGTGCTGGCCACTTCGGGCAGAACTGCTCGGGTGTGAACAGGGAGGATCTCTTAAAAGAAGCTAAAGGTAAGCTGTGCTTTGGCACTAAGGAATTTGGCATTCCAAGTCAACACTGAGGCAGCTGAGTGGGCCACAGCCACCCTGGAAGTGCTGGTGTGGACAGGACAAAGGTGTCTCGACTGCTCATGTTGTCCAGTCCTGTCCAGTTACCTAACTGTGTAGCCAAGGCCGTTGTGATCCTAAATCAGTAACACAGTCCCTGTGCTGGCAGGCCCTTAGAGGGGAAGTGTTTCATCTGCCATGGCCTGTGCTGGGGGTTCTGCATGTCCCCAACACCCAGCAGTGGGACCGGGAAGCTCCTTCCCTGGGAGATTCTGTCTGTGCTGGAAGAGGCTCGCAGAACTCGGAACCAGCCCAGGTCTTGGAAGGTAAGTTAGGAAGGAAAAGTGGAGTTGTTCTGTTAGTGAAGTAATATGATGTTTTTTGAAATTCACACAATTGGGCATTGTAAGACAGTTTTGTATGCTTTTAAGTGTATTCATTAACCTTAGTGGAAGTTTTGCAATGCAAATTTGAGTGAAATTGGATGCTTAAATTAACTTGAAAGTATAATACTACTGTATGGTATGTGTAAGGTCAGCATACCCAGTACATTGGAAAAATAGAGTACTTGCATTGCAGCCTTCAAAGGGTTTGGGGTTATTTTGGTTTTGTGATTTTTTTTCTTTTTTTTTTTTTAAAATCTAAGTAAAGTAGGTATTGACTCTTCTTGCCAAATTTTGAGGTTGCGGCTGCCTTCTGCTAAAAACTTACCTGTCCTCATAACTAACCAACCTTTTGGACTACAAAGTTATCTATTTAAAGGTAAATCCTTTCATTTATTTAATTTTGGAAAAAGTATTAATACTTTTGAATTGCTTTAAGTAACTGGGAAAGCTCTATGAATTTGGGAAAAGTCAGCAGGAATTTGGGCACTGCAACTCAGCCCAAATGAACTGCTTTACTGATACACTTCATTTATGCTAGAGATATTCATCATGTGGAAATGACTTCTAAAGTCTTTTAGTACAGAACATTTTCATTTCGGTATATTTGGCAGAAGGTTAAATTAAATATTTTCCTTCAAATACTGGATATCTTGGGGTTTGTTTTGCTGATGTGATAAATACTTATGAGGGAAATGACACTTGCAAATATAAACTGCGATTTAATTTTACTGGCCAATTCCTCTCCCTCTCCTATTGCGATCTTCCAGTCATTGCACAAAATACCCCAGGTAATTATAAATAGGCACTTATAGATGGTTTAGGTCACATGTGCAATGGATGTGAAGGAAATGGAGCAAAACAACATAGAGGGAAATTACAGTTTTGAACTCTACAAGTAGAACACTCATGGTACAGAAATTCTTTACTGGCCTTTGTAAATTTCCAATTTTATTTAATAAAGTAGAAATGGAATAGTCTTAGACCACCCCTATAAAATGTGTTTAAGTTACCATAAGTTTTGCAGGTTTTAGCCACAAAGATAGGATGTTGAAGTGAATCAGGCAGCAAAATCCTAGTTTTTGAGCATTTGGAACTATCATGGATTGTACTAATACACCACCAGATTCTCCTCCTTCTCAGCATTAACAAAAATTACACCAAAGAACCTGGGATGAATTTAATTAAATTATTGTTTTATTTATTTTCTTTTGAGGACTGGATGGGACTCCCTTTGGAGCCTGTATAACTCAGATGTTTAATTTATCTGAAGGTCAGTGATGAGCAGATGTGCAGCACTGGCTCTCTCCTGCCAAGCAGCTGAATCCCTCTTTTCACTGCTCTTTCTGGCCCAGGAGCAAGAGATTGGAAGTGCAAACAAAACCTGGCTCCTCCCTCAAGGCAGTGCAGAGCACTACCACTAAGCCACTGGGCTGGCCCTGATCAATTATTTTAAGCCTTATTTATTTCAGAATCGTTTCTCTCTATACTGGAGGCATTTCAGTTGATTGCAGTGAAATTTAGGATATAATGGCTACAGTCTAGAATTCAAAACCAGCAAAAAAAACCTTTCTCATTCTGGTTTAAAAAAAAAAAAAAAAAAGACATGTCTGTCTGTCTCTTTTTCTCTTTGTGGGTGTTTGAGCCCCTCATCTGTTTTTCACTGCCGTTCATTGTACTGGCGTAAACAAAACTTTCATTTTAAAATAAAAGGATGTGTGGGCAATGGTTGGCTTCTGTGAGAGTGGAAAATAGATAAAACTAGGACAGGTATTTTCATAAACCAGTTGGAGACAACTAATAATTATTTGTTCTCTTCCTCAGTCCTTCCCTTCCATGAGAAAATTTATTGTTTGTGTAAAAATTCAAGATGTTGATGTTGGTGACTTTTTTTCAGCATATGTTTTTGTACCTGGTTTATCCATGCTTGGCTTTTCATTAGATCTTGTACTGCTGAAGGCTGAGCTGCTAACCAGGTTTATAACATGTATGTACCATCACTTTGTTTACCTGAGTCTTTTTAATTTGAATAAAAATAGTTGGCAAAGTGTTTTGGATTAACCAGGTTTGAGTGTTCCATTAAGACTTATGTTAGGATTTTATTTCAGGTAATTCTGGCTGTTGCTGATCCAGATGTTCTCAGGTCCTTGCTACATGTGTGCTTGTACTTCTTCTATTGTCCTGTGTATTTTGAGATGTGCCTGTAGGTGGTAAGAACAGTGGTGTTGAAAATTGAGCCATCACGAGCAAGAACAGTGAACCTTGGAAAATATCTGAAGCATTGGGAACAAGCTGAGTGGAGGTGATAAGATTTAGTCAGTCCCAGATGCCTCCTTATTAATTGGTTTGAAAATAAACAGCAAGCTTTAATTTCATGTGGAAGCTAACATGGTTCAGAACTGTCTTCCATGCAGCTGTTTAATAGAGGAAATTAGATGAGTGACATGGAAAAAGCATCTTTTACACAATTAAATTAGAACCAAGGACAGAAATTTTCTGTACAAACTGCAAGGAAAATTAAGTGATAGGAGCCTCTCAGGGTGGCTGGCATAAAATTTACAGAGAGCTATTTAAACAGTCAGAACACAGCGTTATTTAATTAACACACAGCCATGTTTTCAGCCAGGGGGATAAATGCTGCCTTTCATACAGGCTGCCAGCTTCACAACATTTCTACCCTTCTGTTGCAGTTGCCCAGAGGAAACTAATTCTAATCATCCTCCACATCTTCTTTGCTCAGTCTGAGATACCAAAGATAAATGTATGTAGCTCCCTCTTGGCTACAAGTGTGCAAAACTGAAGTTTCAGAATGTCTGGGCACTGAACATTTTGTGGGCTGTGGTTCAGTGAAATGTGACATTTTGATTGATGAAATAAAACCTTTTATTAATTTTGTCAACTGCATTTGCCAACAAGTCTAATTTGACCCTCATCTTTGGTATAAAGCACTGGCATCCAGAGCTGATTTCCAGAAGTTCCTCAGGAGCAGCATTTATCCCACCAGTGCTGGGATGATTTTTTTCCCCTGTTCTCTGAAGGAGCCGGGGATGGCCAGGAGCAGAGTGCAGGTGCAATTTGGGTCTGTTGTATTAAGTCCAAAGAGAAAGCATGCCTCCATTGATGACAGGAAGAGTTTTGCTCCAAGGAAAAATTCCCCAATACATCAGATGGCTGTTACTTCCTTTTGCTGCTTTTGAAAAGCTTGGACAAAACTGCAGCCCTGTGCCAGGGAGGAGTGCAGGCTGGGCACAAACACCCTTCTTTGACCATAACTTCTTTCAGCTCTTCCCTGGCTCACCACAGGTTTTTCAGCAGATGGCTGCATCCTTGTGTGAACAGCTGCAGGGGAATGATCAAGAGATCCATTTTTTCCCAAGAATCATTCTGGATTGGTGGTGGAGTTGTCCCCTCTAATGCTGGAGTGGTGAGCAGCACTGCTTGGCGTAGGTATCAGTGTTTGTTCTCAGATGACTTTTTACTGCTGCTGCCTTACTGGGTTGAAGTTTTCCATGCTTGGTATTGATCTTGCCCTGACTTCCACAGTTTGGAAAGCTTGCAGCAGGAATGCTTTGCTGAATCTCACCCAGAAGCTTTGCTGTGGCCATTGCAAACACATGGAAATGCTGGTGGTGGTGCAAGCTGTGCTCCAGGTGGACACCAGCTGAATTCCCTGCAGAAGGGAGGGATGTGCTCAGCCCTGGAGCTGGCAGGCACTTGGCAGGGCTAGAAGTGAAAGCTGTGACCCTGGCTCACTCCAGCAGCCTGGAACAGCCACACAGTGTTGCCTGAGTGCTGAGCCAAAGGAGAGCTCTTGCTTCCTCTCTGTTCCCTTTGCCACAGCAGATGGATGGGAGGAGATGGCAATATGAGAGTCAGAAAGTATTGGGGAAGGCAAAGACCACAGAGTCAGGAATCAGCAGGAATAAAACTGAAAAACTAAATGAAAACTTTGGTTGTTGAAGATGGGTGTAGTTTAAAACTGATACTAAATCCCTGAGAGTGCTCAGCTGTGGAATGGGCTGGAATTTTGGAATGGGGAATTGAAGCTATTCTGATTTCCAGCATTAGTGAGGGACTGACAAAATCTAAAAATGCCAAAGGGTTAGCACTAGCAAACTCACTGAGGATTGGAGACTGCAGCTCAGATTTCTAAATGTCAAGCTTCATATTCTGTCAAACAGATCTGTTGCCTAAAATGGTACGATGCCAACTCAGGGGATTTTATTCCTGCAGCAATCAGTGAGATGGAACTTCCTGACACCAGACATCTTGTGAGTGACTGCAGCCTCCGTCCCTTTCTGTTTACCTGGCTGGAGACATCCCAGAGATCTTCCAGATGTGCCTGGTGCTCTCAGCTGCCAATGGGAAACAGCCACTGCAACACAAGCAAAGGTCTGAAGTGAGAACTGGGCTTGGCTCAGGGCTGTCTGTGGAACACTCTGCTACTATTACAGGAGTGCTTAAGGGAAGCCACAGGAAGTTTTCACAAAAGCTCCCAAGTCTGGAGAAATAACTAGGGCACAGGGCTCTGGCTTGAAAAAACCTCCATATATTGAAAAACTTACTTGTTTTACGACAGCAGAGCACAAGGGAGTTTCAAAAGGTTCAAGAAGTAAAATCAGATGGAGCTAAAGCTCAGTAGTTTTCCAAATTTGGCTTTTTTACTATTTCTTTATTCTTCACTGCTACGGTCGGGGTTGACTTCAGTGCAATGATCTGTGACTGCAAAAAGCAACTTGTTCACGAGTTCTGGTTTCTACCTTGGAACTAAACTCAAGGGTTCTTATTCTGAAATAGAGGCTTTCCTCAAGTTATTCACTTGCTGCTCAGTCAGAATATGCAGTGACACAGTCACATCAGTTTTTATCTCTTGAAAGCACAAGTAGCACTAATCCTTCAGATCAAGTCCTTGGCACGCACAACACGAAGGTTCCCCTTTGTTTGCAAGTGGAGAACCTGTACCTTGGCCTCTACAGAGCTGCCCCTGTCTCTGAGTTGATGAAGACTGACAAAGCCTGGCAGGAGGTAGCACGGGAACCCCTCTAAGTGCATGAACTTCCTCGGGCTTGATTTTAGGCTGAGCTTAAGAACTGGCTTCTTTGTTGCACTTTCAGCCTGCACCCCTACTCTCAGAAATTAAACAACTGTATCAATGTCGGATCCTCAAAGATCACCCTGCCCAGGTCACCGACCCCTGCCACGCTCCTGGTGTCACTGTGCAGGGAGCAAACATGGCTGGGACACAGCAGCCAACTGTTTTCCTGCCTTGGGGACAGCATTCCCAGCACAGGACTTAGGGGTGCCAGGACTGACACTGCACATTGCCCTGGTCCCTGTCAGTTGTGGGCAGCACACACAGGTCACTCTCCAAACACTGTGGGCTGAACAAACTCTGAGCAGTAAATCTGTGCTCTCTTTATCCAGTTAAAATTGTGCCACACTGCAAAGAAAACAAGTCAGCTGTCAGAGCAGTTCCTGTAAATATAAAAGAAGCTAACTCAAAAATACTATTTCCATTATGCTGATATGGATGGATGCACCCTGTAGTATTTCTTTCCCCCTGCTCTTGTCACAAGGGGGGTGTTTCACCAAGCAAATGAAAGCAACAGCCAGACTGTTTACTCAGTTTATTTAAAAGCACTAAACAAACATTAAATTAGTGGCAGAGGCCCAAATACAACGCAATTTTAACTTCATTTAAACACAAATATTACAGGTATGGAAGAACAGAACTGCCTAAACTATCTGAGTGTATTATACAAACATGTGTGGATCACAGCTCATCTTGCAGAGCCAACAACTTCTCCCACCTTCAACGTGGCAATGCTGCTGCTTTGGCACTTGTACAGTTGAAGCACTCAGGAGCTCCCCCTTGAAGAGTTTCAGCTAAAATTCCCCTTTCTCAATCCTTGCCTCGTACAGTCTTTCAGATTGTTTCCTACGGTAGACATCATCTGCAGAAAAAGATGTTTTATGTTAGAGCTTCCCCAGTGCAAGTTGGTATTAAATACATTAATTCTGTCATCTCTTTTTAAACTTTTCAGTCCAAACTTCTCTTGCAGATGCTGACTGACAGGCAACTGGAAATTCAAGCCAACAGAAATCCTTATTACCCCTTAAAATAGATCAGGTTCTCTCCCACATAGGCTAAAGTTCTTCCCATTGGTCCCAATGAAATGTTTTTTCTAGAAAGACTGTTTCCACTTCAAAACAGTTGCTTCTTGTCTACTTTCCCACGAGGGTAATTAAAATGACAAATCCCCTAACTAACTGAAGGAAAATTAAATTATAGGCATGAAGTCAATGCCTGAGGGCTTCCAGCCTGACCAGTATTTTAGTCTTTTTGATATAAACAAAACACAGGAATATTCCCACCTCCATGGTCTTCCCAGTCATTCTTCCTGCCTCCCCACTCCCTAATGCCACAGTTGAGCAGATCCTTCCAGTGAAGTACACAAAAATTTCCAGCGGGGAGGAATGTCATATCAGAAATAGATGCTTTGATTTATAGAAACAAAGCACCAATAACCAAGTTCTCTTGAGCTGTTTTCATACTTATTTTTTAAATTGTAGAAGTCGCGTTTCAGATGCCACACTGCTGCTTAAATGCTGGCAAACCTCCTGAGTCTTTTTTCAATGACCACAGAATGGTTTGAGGTGAGAGGGACATTAAAGATCACCCCATTCCATCCCGCTATGGACACTTTTGCTGGACCAGTTTTCCCCGTGCCCCACCCAACCTGGCCCCGGACCCTTCCAGGGGTGGGGCAGCCACAGCGTCTCTGGTGACAGGGCCTCGCAATCCTCAGAGGAAACGATTTTTCCCCTAATATCCAAACTAACTATACCCTGTTTCAGTTTTATTCAGTACTCTGCACCCAGGGTTTTTGTTTGTTTCTGCTGGGGAGGCGGAGCCCGAAGTGCCGCCCGAGCAGCAGCGGTGTCCGAGCGCAGCCGAGCCCCGCACTCACAGAAGGTCTCTTTGCCCACGCGGACGTTGATCATGAACCACTCCATGGCTCCGCCGAGCACAAAGAAGAAGGGCAGGAAGCGGTAAAAGCCAAAGCGCCGCTGCCCGGGCACCAGCTTCAAAAGGCGCTTCAGCCTCTCGCTGACCTGCATGGCCGGGCGGCACCGGCGCCTTCGCCCTTCCCGGGTGGGGGAGAGAACAGAGAGAGCGTGAGAGGCGGAACGGGACGTGCCGCAGTGACACCGTGACCGCGGTCACACCGGGGCCCGCCGCCGCCGGCGGGCAGGAGCGGCCCCAGCCCGCGCGGCGCCGCTGCCATTGGCGGCCATGGCGGTCCCGCCGCCCCCTGCCCTGCCCTGAGGCGGGAGCGCGCAGCCAATCAGGGCCGCGCCCGCCGCGCGCGACCCCGCGCCGCTCACCTCCCGCCGAGGGCCCCGCGCGCGGCCGGACGGAAGGACGCGCCGAGCGGCACGTGACCCTCCCATCGCAGCGCCTCGCCTGATTGGGCGGGGCGGGGCGGGGGCGGGGCCTGGCGTGAGGGGCCCGCGAGCGCCCCCGCCCCGCCCCGCGGGCCCGGGCCGGCCCCTGTGGGCGGGACCCGGCCCCGCGCCCCGGGCATTGGCCGCCGCCGCCGCCGCCGCGGGCCGGGCGGCGCAGCCGAGCAGCGGAGCCGGGCAGCCCGGCCGTGCACCCCCGAGCCTCCGGTGTTCCGCGGCTGCGGCGTCCCGCGGGGCCATGGCGGCGCTGGGCTCGGCGGCGCTACGGAGGGGCGGCGGCGCGGCCCCCCGGCTCCTCGCCGTGGCTGTGTCCTGCCCGAGCTGCCGGCACAAAGCCACCGGGGACGGTGGGCACGGGCAGCCCCGGGAGCTGCACCCGGCGGCCCCCGGCAGAGTCGGCGGCCAGCCCGCCCCGGCCGAGGGCGCCGACACCAAGACCTACCTGTGGGCCAGGTACCACGAGATGAAGAAGCTGGTCTACGGTAAGGGGCTGCCACGTCTGTCGGGGCCGGCCTTTCCCTTCTTTTCTTTTCCTCTCCTTTCTCCTCCATGCCGCCCCGCAGCCCTGGGGATGTGCCCGTGCTGTGCAGATGCCGGGTTAGGAGCCTTTCTCCCCGGCGATGCCATCCACATCTTCCATCGCCCGCGGCTCTCTGGGATGGTTTTATTTCACTGAAATCTGGTCCTGATCTTCCTCTCCCCATCATGGGCTTCCTTCTGTGCACATTCCCCGTCTGGACTCAGCGTCGCAGGACATGCAGGTTATGTGGGACTTTTCATGACTAGCCTCCTTACACGGTGGGCACTGTCACGGCACATGGTCTAAATGAAGGCTTGTTGCCTTTTTCTCCACTTTGCCGCTGGCTGCCCCGCGGGATCGCGCTTGGGCTTGGGCAAATAGATGGCGATGCTGAGTGAAGGGTGACGAGTCCGAGTCGCCACTGGCACAAGAGTGAGCCTGGACAGCGCTGATTCTGCAGCTCCTGGGACGGGTCCTGGTCCTGAGCTCAGTTTGTGTTCCACACGTTTCACACCTTTTGCTCATGAGCGCGTTATTGCTTCTCTGACCGAGAAGTTACCTGGCTCTGTCGGGTACTTTGAAATCTTGCCAAGCAACGAGAAATCTCAGACTGCTCACCAAGTGTCTCCGTGTGTAAGACAGGATTGTGGTTTTTTTGGCAGCAGCAGCCCTCCACTGTATTAAACTCTCCTAAAAATATCTTTAATGGCATGAGGGCAAGGAACTTTTTCCTGGTGGTTTCTTGAATTCTGTGAATGCTGAAGGTAAGCACTGTAGAGAGCTAGGAAGTGAGTTTGTGCCTGCTCTTACAGAACTCTCTGTTAACTTTTATTTACTTAACGCTTTGGATAAGGACTGCAGTCAGCCCTAGGCATCTGGAAGAACTTTCTCCCTGTTCTGAGATCGGCAAGGTCTTTTATTCCTTCCTCTCCCAGCTTCCAGTCCACTGGATTTGGCATCAAATCTTGAGTCCTTCATGATGCAGAAAATGTAAAGGAGTTGGCTGCTGAGCTATTAGGTGCTCAGCCTGCTGCATTCCAGGATGGGAGCTGCTTTTCCAGAGCTGTTGAAGGCAGTACAGGATGCTGACGGAGGACTGTGGCTTTGGTAATACACTCCAAGACTGAGTTGTAGTTTTAGCCCCACTGCTTGAAAGAAATTCCAATTTGCAATGCTTGTATTGCTGTTTGAACCTTGCTATCCTCAAAGGCATTATTTTCTTTTCCAAAATGGGATTGAAACCATAAATGCGTATGTGTGCTAACAGGCTGTGTCACGGTTTCTTGGCAGAATGCTTGGTTTGCTACGTGAGATTGTGAAGTTTGTGTTCACATAATAACTCTGTTGTGATGCAAGAGACACAGTTTTTTAATTGAGGTGGAGCAGTAATCACCAGGAGTGAATGCCAAATGAAGTCAGGTAAAGTAGCCCAAGTGTTACAGACCAGATTCTTCACAAACCTTCAGGTAGCCATCAGATGCATTGAATAAGGCCCTCGTTTGTTCAAAGAGTATCTCCCCAAGCTAAAATTTTAAGACTGTGTTGTTATTGAGATCTTGTCAGGAAGAGACAGAGTTGGTCCAAGTTGGTTTTAATTGTTGCTTTGATGATTAAACAGTTGTGCAGAATGTGGCATCAGTCTGTTCCTTTGTGCTTGGTTTCTAACTCTGGTGTGAAGGTGAATGTCTGTGCTGGATTTCTCAGTTTTGCCCAGCATTGTTTGGGCAGCCTCCTGTGGTGCCTCCTCCTTTCCCCTCTGAAACACCACCTTTGTGCAGTCCCTTGTCCTGTGTTGTCAGTTATTGCCACTGGTTTGGCGAGAGGTCTCTGCCAGGAGAATTCATTGTGTGTTTTCAGACCAGCCCTTAGCACCAGATCCATGGAGCACTGTTGCATTTCTGCGCCATAAATGCTGACTGAGTTGGACAGGGCAGGATGTGCAGGACGAGTTTCTGTGCAGTGAAGCTCAGTGGTGGTGCAGGTTTGGGGCTGGAGGAGAGGCACAAGTTCTCAACTTTGTATAAGCACATCTGTGCTGTGTCAGGCTGGAGTGGGGTGGTATAAGTGACAGCACAAAGTAGCTACATGGAGAGTGCCTCTAAAACTTCCTCTCACTGTTGACTCAAGAGAAACCATTCTCTTCATTATCCCCCCTGCCTATTGCAGCACTGACTCGTATGACCAAATTTCATTACCTGTAAAAATTTGAGGCTAAAAATTTGAGGCACTTACTGTGCTTTTTTTTTGCTTCTGCCAAAAGGAAAACTACATTCACATTAGTCATAGGGATGGAGTTGAGCAAGACTTGCTGTTTTCTGATCTGATAAATGTCAGGGAAGGCTGATAAGCTCTCTCAGTAAGCTTCAAAGTCTTGCACTCTAGGAAACATCGGGACAGCCAAGCCAGCGATGCTTTGGCTATAAGCAAGTGTTTGTTTTTTCCTAGGTGTTCCAAATCTGTAAACAGTGCCTACACTAACTCAGCTGTCCTAGGGAACTGTACAATATCTGCAAACTTCTCACCTCTGCATGACAAGTTTGAGAATGGTTAAATGTGAGAACAGCCAGAACTGGAAGATGACCAGTTAAATAAACTTCTCAATTTTGCTTTCTTGGCTATAACCCATTTTTTTCTTGTGAAGAACTCTTGCAGCATTTTCCTAGTGCCATTGTATATTTTAAAAATGTAATTTTGGAATGAAACTATATTTTTAATATTGCTTTTAGTTAATGTAGATTTCATTGGCAGGAAATCCCAAAATATTTAGGCATAATGGCATAAATCCAAGGTCTTTTAACAGAGTTCCTCTAAAATTAAATAGTCTTTAGATAATATTTTTCCTTTCCTACTCCATTGGTAGAAGGATCTGCTTTGGCTGTGGGAGTGCTTTGCAGGAAATGGCACAAAACAACACTTCAAGGGGATAAAGGGGTACTTGGAAGGGAGGAAAGCTGGCAGTTTATCTTTAGAAAGCAACTTAGTGTGAACAAGGGAAACTTTTTGATTCATGAAGAATGTGGAGGATGATGGCCATCTGCTTCTCTGGACCCTTCTTTTCCCTGCTTGTGCTGTGAAGAAATTAGTGCAGATATCTGCTGGGTTGAATTTCTGGGAGTACAAAGGGTGTGAGACTTACATGCGGGTGAGTTGCCTCGTTTGTGTATTACTCTTCACTGACACGCTGGCTCTGAGGCTGAGAGAACGGGAGCTTTCCTGCAGGATGCTGCTGGCACCCCGGGAGCTCAGAAAAGCAGGAGACGTGCTTGGCACCTCCTGCCCAGAGCGTTTTTCACACCACAAGGGGCCAGATGGTGTCTCTAGTGTCTGCTCTCAGTTAATTACGTGCTTTTGTTTCCATCTCTGCTCTCCTGTTGGGGATTGAGGGTTATTGCTTTCTAACAATGTGGGTTATTGCCTGGGAAGAGACACCTCTACTCTCATGGAGATAATCTGATTTAAGCAGCTGTCCAGGTTCTCACAGTGGGAAAATGAAGGAGATGTTGTGTGTTTACTTTGCATTTACACCCAGGTGTAAAAGATGCACAGATCAAGCACACTTTCTTGTGGTCTGCCTTTGCTGCTGAATTTCATCATGTGCCGAGGGCATGCAGGCATTTCCCTAAAATCTGTCAGAGCTGCAAACAGGAGCAAATTGTGCAAGCAGGCAGATTCCTGGGGCTGCATCCAGTGCAAGAGTGACTTTCCCCACACCGTTCTGCCATGTGCTCACGCTGCTTCTCCCTCATCAGACTTCCTGGGTGAAGTGCTGAGTAGGCAGTGACTAACTGATATTGTCTGCTTTCTAGTTAGGACCCAGACAGTAAGAGTAGGTGGCATTATTATTCTTTTTTAATAACCAAAACTGGTCTTCATTTTGTTTTGTGTGGTTGTTTTCTTTAATTTATATCTGTCCAGCAATTTGTTGTGGTGTCTTGGCAGAGGAAAAGCTATCGTTCTTGAAAAATGGCATCTTCATGAGCTTCTGGTGGGTGTCTGTTTGTTTTGATTTGACAATTGCCAGGAAATCTGAGACAAAGATCCCTGGCAGATTACGTGCAGAGCGTCAGCAGAGCAGCAGCGCCCAAGCCTGCAGCCCAGGACTTGATTAAGCACTAAGGGCTGGTAACCACCCAGGAGGATATCTTTGAAAAACATACAAGCAAAACACCACAAAAAAGCAAAGCAAACCCCCAAACAAACACAATTAAACCAAGCTCCTTGAAACCTGGTTTATAACCCTGAGGCATGTTTGGACTCTTGTATTGAAACTGATTTTGCGTGTGCTCCCAGGTTGTAGCTGGAACCTGCATGGAGATTGCATGAGTTTGAGGAGATGGAGACCTGCAGCTCTGTTGAGGAGGGTGCTGCAATAGGACATTTACACTGAAACAAACGTGCATCATGAATCTCTAGACTGAACCTCAGAGATTTCCTCCTTTCCAGAAGAGCAGTGACTTTGAAATTACTGTAAATTCAATATGTAGGATGATGGGGTGGACAAAGCAATCTGCAAGTTGTAAGTGATGTAGAATAGGAAACAACAAGGAGATGAGTGGTGCTTGGGGAAGTGAATGCAAGGTACACACTGTGTGTGAGCCAGTGGGTGTAAATCATTTTGGCTGGTGTGTGCATCCTTTTTCAGCCCTCTTAGGATGTAAGAGAGAATATGCTGTGTAAGTGAATGACAAAATGTGGGTAGGAGAAAATGACTTGGGTAAGAAGCTATCAGAGGACAGCAGAGAGGCTCTGTACCTTTGAGGCTGGCAGAGAGGAGCGTTGCTTCACTCACTGTGTCTAAATGTACTTCATAAATCATGCTGTGGCACAGTAACTGCTTATGCTTCTGATCACAGATATAATTTGCTTGGTGAAGCTCAGACTGCTCTCTCCTTGTTACAAAATCCTGCTGCTCCTTAGTGTTTCCTGATATTTTTGCAAAAGTTGTGGTTTGTATGTGTGGCTGAATCTAGAAGATTGTATTTTCTTCTGTGAAAAGAGAGGTGGGGTATTTTCTTCTGTGAAAAGAGAGGCAGTGGTATTTTATGATGCTCTCAGGCTGTCAAAATGTGTTGTCCTGGATATGCTAGCAAAAGGGAAGAGTTTCACCTCTCTGTAGGGACAGCGTAGCAGCAAGTTGGGTGCATTTGTCATAAAAAGAAAAAAGTGCTTTAATAGAAGAGGAAAGCCCTGCAATTTTCCCCTGAGATGTGATTAAGGTTGTGTCATTATTTTCCTTGTGAGGAAGAAACATAACACCCAGCAAATCCCAGTGTAAGCTTAGACAAGTTGACTGGGGGTGAGGACAGGAAGTGGAACTCTGTTTATTTATGGTGCAAAGAGCATTTATGATGAAAGGATGAAAGCTGTGATCATCTGAATCCTATTTACATTTCCCATACTTAAAAATCTCAGTTGAAAATACTTGGATTGCATCCTCTCTCCTAAGCCTCTTCCAGGAACTTTGCCACCAGCAGAGCCCTTACAGAGAGCTTTTGTTCCTGGTGTGTAGCCAGTAAGTCAGCCCTCCTGCCTTTATACACTGCTTTATTTTCTAGTCATTCCTTGCCACATGGTCTGGTGAATTGTATTTGAAGGCCAAATGGAAGTCAGTTAGGAGAGAAGGATGGGTATGTTTTGTAACAGTGATTTTTTTTTTTCCCCTCTGTGAAAGAAACATTTAGAAATATTTGAATCTATTTCTTTGATTACCTCTCTGAATTAGAGCTCACAAAAGAATTTCAGCCTTTTGCCTAAGTTCTGTTATAATTCAAGACAAAGTCTTTATTGGGAAGGGCTGGTATCTCTTTCTAATAATGTATTTTTTGTCCTACAATCAGATGGAACTTGGTTTTATAGCAAGGAAGCAGTAAAGAACCAGGACAGGGGTCCTTGTAAATGCCAAAAGTTAAGGTAGGAAAAGAAAAAATCCTACCCAGTGATGCTGAGTAGGATCTGGAAAATGCCTGCTCTTCTTCTATCATTCCAAGAGAAAATTACTCATCTTTGAGGAGGGAGGAAATATCTCCTTCCCCTCTGTACCCCAGTGTGGTTGTGACCAGGCAACCTACTACAAGAAACTATTTTAATTGCTCTTTCTTGCAAGGGACAGTTCTCATGGAGCGGGAAAGCTGTGGGAAGATCTGTTCCTGCCTCTCCCATTGCAGTGGAGGGAAAGCTCTCCTCTCTGGACTGGCTCTGGAGGGGATCTATGTACAGGTAGTTTAGCTGCTTGGTCACTTAACCCCATTTTCTCAGTGGTCTGGGGAGCAAAGTGTCATTCCCAAGCATCTTGAACAGTAACCCTGCTTTGCAGTGACAAACCACATGCAAGGACTGAGCTGGGCCCACAGCTGTTTATCAGAGGAAAGCAGATCACTTGTTGCTATCAGCTTTGCATGTTCCAGGAGCATAACTTAGTGTGGGGTATTTTTTACATGTAGGTGTTTGTACTTTGGTTTTTCCTGACAATTAATAAAAAAAAAATTAAAAGTCCTAATGGTGTTGGAGGATTTCTCTGTGAAGTTTTGTTGCCTCTGTGAGAAACAAAAAATGCCAAAAGACAAACCTCAAATTTTCCGATTTGGAGTAATCTAGACTTTTCCAAGAGCCTGTTTGCTTGTGTGAGTTCTAAGTGAGGAGTGTGTGTTTTTCGGGTGATTTATCACAGCTGCCTTTCACATTGAAGCCTGCAGAAACTGCAGCTGCTCTGAGATAGAAATTTGACACTTCAAAACCTCGGGTCTGCTTTGCTTCATGTAGGCCAGAGACCAGGGGGCATTGTTTTGCAGCTTCCTGACACAAAAGGTCAGTCTGACTGTGCAGATGGTTAGAGAGCATTATCTCCAGGTGCAGCCAGAGGTTTCACAGTGTGTTTTTTCACGGGGACATTATTTGAGTGAGTGAACAGCATCAGCCTTCCACAGCAGCTCTGTGCTCTTTGCTGCTGTGTGGCATTTCCAGCTGCTGTTAGGCCCAGAAAAAAAAGTCTAAACTTCAGTGATGCTCTCCGTTTCTCTAACCTCTCCCCTTTCCCTTCTTTTAGATCTCCTTCCACCAGGAGTCTGCAATCTCCTCAACCCCGCTGCCATCTATGCTAACAATGAGATCAGCCTGGGAGATGTGGAGATCTATGGCTTTGACTACGATTACACATTGGCACAGTATTCTAATTTACTACACTCCATGATTTTCAACACTGCCAGAGACATCCTAATAGAACAATTCAAGGTAATGAGGTGCTAAGAGTTTCCACTCAATTAAGCTTGCTGCTGTCTTTGCAATGCCCCAGACATGTTTGTGCAGGCGTTGTGCACACGTGTCAATTACTTGTTTTATTGAGATAAACTTAATATTTCACAATCTTTGATTGCAGAAATAATTTCCTTTGAGATTATTTAACATGATGTACATTCCTGAGGTTTTATAAATGTGGAGAGGGAGCCTTAATGTAAAAAAGCCCTGGTCAGCTGTACTCAAATATGGAAATAATGCCTACAGTATTGCTGGTAGGAGGTGCACATGGTGGCTAAACATAAATCATGGGCCAACACTGAAGCTATGCAGAACTTGGAATGTGCTGGTGGATGGGATGATGCCCTAGAGCATGTCCCAGAACAGACACCCTGTTTGCAATGGGTGACTGCTTATGCATTTTTTTTCTCATTTTTCTCATCATGCCTTTCTGAGGGGCTCTGCAGTGCCAGTCTTTGCCAAATATATGCAAAGATTACAAGAAGTGTTGTCACTGCCTCAGTAAATCTGATGCTTTTTCTCTACTGTCCCTTACATGAGAAAAACTAGTTTTGGGCATCCTTTGTCTTACTCCATTCATCCACTTTCTTTGCTGAAGGGGCAAAATTAGGCAGGACTAAACGAGCTCAACAGGTGAAGTGATTTTGTTGACTATCTGGTGCTTATGCTCTAATGATGTCGCTGTTTGTCTTCCCAGTATCCAGAAGGGCTTGGGAAGTATGACTACATTCCAGGGTTTGCCATACGTGGGCTTCACTATGATGTACAAAAGGTAAGCTGTACAAAGTTCACTCTCCTGGGCTTTGTCTTACACTGTTATGTTTTTAGTGGAAATACTTTATGTCATTGCTTGCAATAACATCTGTCACCAAATGACCAGTGAGTCTGTCTGGCTGGGCTTTTCACTGCTTGGGTTCTTCCCCAAGGAAAGATGCCTATTGTGCCAGCCTGGCCTCCAGCAGAATGGGACATTCTAGCAAAAGTCTCTGGTAAACAGCCTTGCTAATTTAAAAGTCAATTCATTCCACAGCCTAATTAATAGAAAACTGAGCTTGTTTATGTGATCATTTCTGTCTTTCAGGAAATTTAAACAACAAAACTCAATCCTGCATCTACAAGTACTTGCCAGGAGCAGAGGCATAATGTCTTACCCTAATAATAGAAATGACTTGTCAGGAGAATGCTTTGGGAAGCCTTCCCCACCCCCTCCCCGAATAATAGGACTGCCTGGAATAAGATCCAAGCTACTTGAGATGCATACTTCTTAAGAACCCAGGCAAGCAGAATGCAGGCATTAGCTTTAACCCTTCTCAGTGCTTTGGATTCCCTGAAAGCCTGATGCACAGTGATGTCATGCTGGCTGCTGCAGCCAGGCAGTGAGGTGGGAGCACAGCAGAGAAAGTTGTTTCACTGAAGCAGCTTTTTGGTATGTGGAGTTTGAGTGAATTCAGAGAAGCAGGCAGTGCAGGCTGGAATGTGTGTGCTGTCTTCCAGCAAGAGGGGGAAAAAGAGAATGAAGGAGAAAACTATCGAGATTTTCTGTCTTTTGTCCTAATTGTGGAGACAGTATAACAGCAGACCACTCATGCCTCTGGCCTTACAAAACAAGAAGTAGATCTGTGGGAAACTGCAGGTTCTTTCTCTGTTTAAATCTTTGGCTGCTATATCTGAGAAACACAGATGAGTGGCCTGGCCAAGCAAAGCACCCTTAGAGTGAGTGGAAAGTAGAGAGCTCTCTTTTTTGAGGACCAGAGTTTGCAAAAAGCACAGAAATCTGGGTTACGCCTGAGTACGACTTTCAGCATATTTGCCTGCACTCCTCACAGATCATTGGGAGGTTTCCCACAGTGTAACAAGAGGCACTGATATGGTATCCTGATGGAAGGAGTTCAATGCTGCAAGCTGCAGAGTGATGTGGGTTTAGTGTGAGGCTGCTTTCTGTGCCCAAAGACTTGTGTTACAGCTTCAGAATGTTGGATGGAGAAGGATGGCTCATGATTAGGGGAATCTGATAGTAAAAATGTAAAGAAAGCTCTCTTACCAGCCTGGTGTGCTCCTGAACATCTTTCCTTCAATATCTACTGGGGAGGGGAGAGCTCTTGTGTAAGGAAAATGACTGGGTGCTGCTGTGCTCTGAACTAAAACTTGCCCACTTAGTTCTGCTTAAGGTAAATGTGTGGGGAAACAGATCTGTGCACACAAAGCTCCTTTGGAATGTGTGTTTTCTTGAAGGGAGATAAGAATAGACTGTCTTGAGTCACAGAAATATTGTTGTCCCTGTTTTTCAACTGCATCCGTGTAAACTGGGGTGTAACAGACTTTGGCTCATAATAAGTCACAGTATGAATAAGTGTGTCTAAAAGTAGTTGGAGAATAAGTGCTGTCTAAAGTGCATAGGTGTGGGATACTCATACTGAACTTTATTTTCTGCATGTCATTTGTGTGAAACATTGAATTTGAATGAGGTTTCAGTGTAAATTTTTACAATAACCCAGTTCTAACAGTAAATATCTATCCCTTGTCACAGAGTCTTCTCATGAAGATCGATGCTTTCCATTATGTCCAGCTGGGGACTGCGTATAGGTCTGTAAATTCTGAAAATCATTTTCTAAATGCATAAGCAAAAGTGGATTTCTACATCTCAGTATATGTTCATGGCTTATGTTGTTCTGCTTCTTTCCTGAGCAGAGCATAGTCTTGTCTGGCTCATCCTGTTTGCTCTTGCTTCAAGTGCTTACCTGGCATATTATTGCAGGGAGTTATTTTTTCCTCAAGCATTTCAAGCCAGGTGTGGGTGGGAAGACCTGGAGCTTTTTGTAATGGTTAATAGCACATCTGGTCACGTACACTGCATGGTGTTTTAGCTGCAGCTACAGCATGGCTGGGTTAACACCTGAGAGCCAACAGCCAATAGGAAAGGGCTCCTCTCTATGTGGTTCACACGTGGACCTGTCTTTTCCAGGCAGGAGTGTGTCCCAACAGTGCTCTGCTGTGCCTTGGAGAGTGATCCGGGTGTGCAAATTGCATCTTCAAGTAACATAGGCATGCCAATAAAGTAATAATGCGTCAGAATCTGGGGTCACTTTAAGTTGCAGATTGTCCTATTTTTCCTTTATTTCTCCAAAAAGAGCTGGGTATGCTTTGGAATAAGTGGGTGAAACAGTGCAGAGCAAATTTTTCTCCTAAGAGTTGGGTGACTGGAGACTGAGAAAACACCTTGCTCCAAAGAGGATTTGGGTTGGTGTGTAAGAAGTAGTAATTTATAAATATCAATGGCAAATCTCCTGTAAATCTCCTGGAAATTATATTTCCTGAGTATGGAAGCTAATGTGTTTTTTTTCCTTGATCTCTGCCCTTTTGCTGTTAAGCTTCAGTTACAGTAAACACTCTAAGAATATTAAGAAGGGAGTTTCATGACCAGAGAGAATTGGCTTCTTTGAGTGCCAGCTTGGGGGGTGAGGGGATCAGGGGTTTGTACTGCTCTATATTTTACTTCAGCTTCATAAAGAGATTTTTAGTGAAAACACATTTAGTGAAAACACTTTTCTTTTCCCTAGTGTCCTTTTGTAACTATCTTTTTCTGTGTGTCCTTCTAAACTTTCCTTTGCCGGTGAGCACAACTGAGGCCACATTTAACTTCTTAGACACTGTGTCATAACTGAGTAGAAAAGGAGAAAGGGAAAGTTGCCGCCTGCTTGAGCAAAGAGTAATCAAAATTGTGCAAGAGGCAAAACCTGCAGCAGTCAGATAACCTGATGGTTTGAACTACACAGATCAGCCATACTCCTGTTTTTGGTGTTTTTGAGAAAAACAACTTTCTCTGTTGAATGGTCTTAATCAAGATCTTGTTCTGTTTAGGAAAACTGAATAAGAAGGAAACCCTGTTTTCAGGAAGCCCTTTTCCTATACCTTTTTATTTAAGGTGATGTATCTCATGGGAGCAACATTTCCAAACCAAGTTAGCTACCCAGTGTTGCCCAAGTCAGGTCACAGGGCTGATTTGGGGGGGCAGTCCTGTCAGCAAATTGACAGCAGACAGAGAGAAGCCTCTGGCTGGACTCTGCTGGAATGTGGATAAAGCCCCTCAATTAACTTGTAGAAGCAAACAAGGTATCTGAAGAATGTCTTGGGAAAGATTTTATGTGAATCTTTAGAGCTGTTAGGCTCTCTGCCTGTCTCTTTTGAGCAGGAGGAATTTTTGAGTTTTAGGAAAGAGCCTGTTTGCCCCGTCCTGTTTTTCTCTACTGTTTGTAGCACTGCACAGACTGGTGATTATTGACAAACTGCGTTGTTCTGTGTCTAGAGGGCTCAAACCGGTGCCTGATGAAGAGGTGATCGAACTCTATGGTGGTACACAGCACATCCCCCTGTACCAGATGAGTGACTTCTATGGCAAGGTATTGTAAGCCCTTGGCTTTTGGGATGCAGCAGCAGCAGCTCTTTGAACAGCTTGGAAAACCGAGGGGATTGTATGCACACGTAAATGACTGCAGCCTCCCTTGGAAAGACTTGGTCCCCAGTGAGCTGCAGTGTGTGTTTTTGTTCTAGTGGGAATACGCCCCAGAGGTTAGTTAGCAGTTTAGCATCTGAAAGACATCTGCAAAGCATTTTTAAATATCAAGGGCTATTGGCCTGGAGCTGAATGGCTTTGAAGCCTGATAGGGAGATGTTTCCAGCTTGTTCCTTGGCCAAATCTAGCTCCCAAGCTGCCCTGGCAGCCTGCAGTGCTGGTGTTTGCAGTGAGCTGTTGGGGAGGAGGTCTGCATGTGTAGCAGTACTAGGGTGCTTGCAATGCCTTTCTCTCTTTGGTTTTGGGTAGGGTTTTTTTCCCCGTTCATGTTAAGGATCTCATTCCACGCTCCTTCAGAACTGCTCTGGGGATGTTATTTATAGTCCATGAGTATAGGGAGTAGTAAAATACTGACCTCCTGTCTGTAGGAGCTGTAAAAATCCTTTGGTTGCCTGAACCTAGAGGAAGTTAGGAGAGATTTTTCTTCCTTGAGTGCCTCATGTGGCATAGTGGCCAAGTGGGACCGTTCACATCCCTTCTCCCAGAGCTGCTTTGTTTCTTGCCTTAGTTCCGGTGCCTTAGGGGAAGCTGGAAGAAGGGCACACTTCCTCTGGTTATACCCCTGTGAGTCTGCTCTGTGAAGTCTCCAGCAAGGTCACTTCTTGATTTTTCTCTTTCTCTCTTGGGAACAATTAATCTGAGTGGTTGCTTTCTGGATAAGTATATACTCTGTTTATAGCTCAGTGATGTTTCCAGCTTTGAAATAGGACATTTTTGTTTAGAATTTGATCTGTCTGTAAACTGCCCTTGATTGGCTTCCTCCTGTGGAACTCTCCTCAGTCCTGCCAAACTTGAGATGATTTCATCTTTCTTTTTAAATAATTGTAAACATGAAACCTGCTTCAAGTTGTGGCCTTCTGTAGGACAAGGTACTTTATGCTGAGGTGCCTTTCTGTGCTTTGTATGTACCAGGTGCTTTCTTCTTTACTGTAGTTAGTATTGAAAAATTTGGCCACAGAAGTAGAGATATCAGCTTAGTCTTTGTGAAGAGGTGAATCTTCTCTCCTATTAATGTAATAGACTCCATGAACTAACAGGTGGATCCCAAATAGAACAGAAGTATTTAAAATTATTAACATTTGCATTCAGCAATGTCTGCTCAGCCTGTGCTACTAAGTGGGGCATATTTTCCCACATTAGTGAGACAGATGAAAGAAGGGTCAAGATGACTTCTGGTGTGAACAGGTGCAGTGAACTGGTGAGTAGTGAGCTTTTAGCAGTGGTCTTTTATTTGTTCTCCTCAGTCTGCCATGCTGATGTTGCTGTATGAGCAACAGGAAGGTTGCTAACAGGCAACAAGAGAAGTGGGACTGATATGGCTGAAGTGTGCAAATATTCTCCCTTAAGGGTTTTCCTGGTTCTCTGTTAGCAGGAGTGTGTGGACAGCTGCCAGCATCCCAACACCTGCAGTAGGTAGGCACAGATCTTTCCCAAGATTCAACAGCTGGTGTGGCTTTACATGTGATGGCCTGTAATGAAGGTGGAGATCTCAAGAGTGTTGTAGAAAAAGCACATGTAACATTCTGAAAGCACAGTCCAATTTTTGGTTTGACTCCTGTCACTGTCTTCTGCCTAAGGAAGTCAAGGCCATTAAAGGGAATTGGGAGAGATTGGACTTGCCCTGTAGAAAAATGACACAAGGCACAAAAATGAAATCAGAGTTGACAAGGTAAATCTTTGCTGTTAACACTGAACATTTAACTGTCTCCGCTGTACTTCAGGTATTGAGAGGTAGGACAGGTCATTGCTCTGCTAAATCCCATACCTAGTTATTTCAGTAGGATTTGCTTGTCTTTGTCCCTCTTGCTTCTTTCCCCAAATCTCTGAACAGGAAAAAAAGATGAAGGCTGTTTACAGAAATTTTTGGTTTTGCTATGGGAGAAATATTCCCTTAGCAACCAGATATCAAAATGGACAGAAGTGTTGGAAGGAGTCAGTGAGTATCCTAAGCAGCACCACCATGTGTGGTATGTGGCCCTTTGTGTTGTCTTCTGCTGTAGGTGAAGATGTCCTGTGCTGAGTGGATGGAAATTGTATAATCCTCAGCACACCAACATAGCTTTTGATTGCAGCATTTTTTAGTAATACACCTCAAGCAAAATGCTGTTTGTTATTGCTTTGCCCTTTTGACCCCAATTTGTATTGCCTTTAGACAGGGCTGGTCTCTGCCAGCCTTACCCAGCCAGACTTGATGGGAGATGTTCTCTTGTTGTACATCCTGGCATGACAGGGCCACACATTTGTCATTAGGCAGCAGGGGTCCCATCAGCTTCCACCATCTGTACCTTCTGTGGTTTTCTGGATGCTGCTTTCATCTCTGTCTTTCACACAGCTCTAATAAATGCTTTCTGAAGTGGCCCAGTACTATTCTAGTGTTGTAACTTCATGCCTATCAGTCCTGGATTGCTCAAAGCTCATGCACAGACATGATGGAACTGGATTGCCAGGGCACTGCTGGTGACTGCTGGTCTGTGTGCTTCCCAAATTACTTTCCATTTTCAGGATCTTAGTAATTGTCCCCATTCTGGTCTGGAACTTTATCAATGGAAAATGAAAAAATTGATCCCAGCTTCATCTTGCAAAGCAGACTCGCTGCAGTCCTCTGCACGGGTGGTACCTACAGAATAAACAAAGTTTGTTTTACTGGAAAGCCTCTCTGGGGCCAAAGTTGGCTCTTGGCCTGCTGATAGTTTGTGATTGATAGGCAATAACGACAGCAAATGTGTGTGAGAGCTGCAGCTCTGCCTATTAGGGACAAGGGGAGTTATTCCTTGGTCAGGATGTAATTGTCCATTTCCACTTGTCTGCTGGTTCTTTTTCCTCTGGGTTTCTGTAGTGACAGACAGGCATTGACCAATGGCTTGTTGAAGTGATTCTTACACTGCCTTGTGAAATCTCACTGGAATGTGGTTTGAGCAGTTTTGGTGCCCTGTGTCCGATGTCACAGCCTGGTTAAGATGAGCAATGTGGCATCTTCAGGAAGGCCCTTGGCTGCTGCTGTTTCAGAGCATTGTTGTTGTGTCTGTTGGCACCTCTATTAATGCCAAGAGTCCAGGTGGGAAGCAGAGGTTGAAATAAAAATACTTGGGACCAACTCCCTCCTTCCTCCATCTTCACTGTGTGGTATTAATGATGCTTGGTTTGTGTAATGATCTATGTGAAGGAGACACCTCTCTTTCTTCAAGGTTGATGTTTTGGCTGAGAAGAGAGGATTGCTTGCTGAGTGACTGGGATTTCCCACACTAGTGTTTTTGTTAGTCTGGAACATATTTCAGATGATGCTGATAATATGAGTTTGTTTGTTGGCTTTACTGTTTTTCCCCCAGTATTTTTGGTTTAATGTCTCCCTTTTGTTTTTTGCTTTCCAGGGTCCATCACTTAAGCAGTTTATGGACATTTTTTCTCTTCCTGAAATGACACTGCTGTCTTCAGTCATTGATTACTTCATCACTCATGGCATTGAGTTTGACCAGGTGCATCTCTACAAAGACATATCTGTAAGTGAAATGTCAACTGCCCCACAACTCACACCACATCAGAGCTGTGAGCCCTGCAGCGCCCAGACCCAATGGGTTTGCAGTGACCAGCCTGATATGACAGCTCTGTTGTCCCTTTAGATCAAAGCATTACCAGGGAATATTCAAAGCTGTGTTTTCAGAACCTGTTTGGGTTTTGTCTGTACTACAGGGCTGGTGTTTTTGGTGTATCTCATGTAGGAGTGCCTGGGCTGCTTAGGCTGAAGGTCTTTCCATGGGAAATATGTCTCAAAGCTTGTATAAATGTTTTCTATAATTGTTTTCCTTAGTATCTCATTTTTCAAAGAGTTCTGGTCTAGCTGTGTACCAAACAGTTTACTTTATACAATGATTGTTGTAAAACACCTCTCCTGGCTTGCTCTGGGGATCCTGTACCCCTTGCAGCTGCAGAGTAGTCTGATTCTTTGGGTGACTGTAGCTTTCATGTGTCATTTATTCCAAGGTGTTAAGTGGCACTTGAAAGGGCTGTGTGGGATTATCAGCTTTTTTGGGACTGTTTGACTTCTCAGTTAATGCTGTAGACAAGAGTAAGTGCTTGAGATTGCTTCTCTGGGTGACTTATGCTGACAAGGCAACACATTTTCCTTATTTCACTCCTTTTTCCCTAGAGAAGGGTTGGTGTGTGTGTGTGTGTATGTGGAGAAGGGTACCTTGTGGGAATTTAGGTTCACCCACTGGCTGTTCAGCTGTGGGAGGGAAATGGGGCTCCAAGGGGGAATGGGGCTCCATGTCTGTGCTGCTGCCCTGTGATAAGGATCCACCTGTCAGCTGTGTGTCCTGACCTTCTGTTGGCGCTTGATAGGAGCGCGCCAGCTCATTTTCCACAGGACCTTAACATATGTCAGGGGTGTTGGGTGTTGGTTTTTCCCTTGGGATGGGGAAAATGTGAAGAGGGGATACAGCTGACTCCTGAGGCCTTTTGTCAAGAGTATCTTCTGAACCTTGCTCTGAGATCAAATGGATGTGTTCCTAATTGAAATCTGGAGGGCAGGGGGATGGTTGCCACAGCTGATACGTGTCCAGTGCAGGGCAACTGGTGTGGTCCAGCCCTCAGACTCTGGAGTGCTAATCCTGGCTTTGTCCTTTTGGTGGAGAATGTGGTCATTCATCCCTGAGGAACAATTGAATTAGGCAAAGAAGAGAGCTATAGCAGAAAATCTGTGGCAATGCCTGAAATCTATATTGAAACTAGAGACCATCACATGCTCTCACCAGGAGAGTTCTTGCTTTTTTCCTGTACAATGAGGATAAACAAACATTTTTGCAAAACTTATCCCTTTGCAGTACCCAAGTTCAAGTGCAAATAAATGTTTTGTGAACACGAACACAGAGGTCCTTCTGTGCCTGCAGAGGACTTGCATAGCCCAACTGTTAGGGCAGCCCTGGCTTAGCCTGACACTGCTGTAACTCTGGGTGGTACTGCTGATGCAGCCTGTGTGCTTGGGAGCAGGTTAAGTGCTACAGGCACTGAGTCAAAAGGACAGACCCTGGGCTATGGTAAAGTCTGAAGCTGACATGTAATTAAAGTAATCCAGTCACACCAGTTTGGTCACTTTATATTTGAGTCTAAGAATGTACAGTTTACCCTGCTTCCCCTTGGAGGCATTTTTGGGGCCCTATTTGACACCTACCAAGGCTCTAAGATTTTACCTGCAGAAACATTTTCATTTTCCTTTTTTTCTAACTTCTTCTTTTGTTTTTTGGAGGGCAGGAATTTAGGGAAAGAGCACACTGACATTTTTCTTCTCTGCAAAGGTAGTTTTGACACAAGTGCAAAGTTCTGCTTGCTTTTAGTGCCAGTGCTGGTTAAGAGAAAGCTGTTTCTTGTTACAGCTCCTGCCCACCATTCTGATTCCTTCCAATAAGGCAATGAGATGTGACTTCTGCCTTTTTGCCCTTCAAATCCACATGGTGGAAGGAAGCTCCTAAAGCTCCATTTTGAAGTGGTTATGCCTCCACCTTCATCATTCCCTTTTAAGTTGTAAATTGTGGTTCTCTCCAGCTATGAAGAAAAAATTTTGGGGGGTCATGAGGAGGTTTCCCCGGCACTGCCATGAGACCAGTTGACCTTGTGGCATGTGTCACTGTAGTGATGTCAATGGTGAGTGTGGGACTCAGTCTGAAAGGGCAGCTCCTGAAGGGGCACACACAGTGTAACAGGAACTTTAGGGTCCTGGGGAAAGGCAGCAATTGTTTACCTGTGTAAATTGTCAGGGATGAAAATTGATGCTGTTCAAACAAGCATTTGCATGTGCAAACACTGCAAACTGTGTTGCTGCTCTGGAAATGGTTTTGTGGGTCTGGCATATCTTGCTGGATGGAGACTTGTGCAGAATCTCAGTTGGGTGTGTCTAAAAATGTGCTGTATCTTGGCTTCTGGCCTGGAAAATAGAGGATATTTGGATGCCCTTGACAGCATCTGTTTTAACTTGCTTCCCTCCCAGCTGTGTTTTGTGCCACCCTCCTAGTGGGAGCTTCTGCTCTGCCTGTGCACACTGATCACCCAGGGCTAGGAGCTGTGGCCCTCCTTGGCTTGTGGGATCACAGATGCTCTCCTCTGTTGCTGTTCACCCCATTCACACTCCTGTCCTTTGGGTCACACTTGGCAGAGCTTCCACAGGCACAGGAGGGAGAAAAGCCTCCTGGTGTCTGAGACAGTACAATGTTGGGACGGTAAATGGTTTTGGAGTGGCACAGTCTTTATTGCCTTGGAACCAATGGGGTAACATGTGCTTGTTTCCAAGAGCAGGAAGGAATTTGTGCTTCCACAGATAAGTTTTGAGGCTTTCCCTCTTACACTGCATCAGCTGAACCAGCCACCCTGTTCTTCTTTAGGCATCTTGGTGAGCCTTGCTGGGCCTGCTCTGCTGCTTTGCAGTGATGGAGCTTTTGTTCATTCAGCAAGGAGGGGATGTATCATTACTGCCTTGGTCCTCAGTGCTGGCAATAGGTTTGCATGCTGGAAAACAGGAATGCCATGTTGTAAAACTGAAACATTTTCCCCCCTGCTCTTTTCTTTAGGATGCAATTAGAGATGTTCACGTGAAAGGAGTGATGTACAAATGGATTGAAAAAGATATGGGTGAGTTAAATAGAGCTCTGGTGCCAAATTCACTTGTCAATTCCTCAGTTTTTCTCTTTAGGTAGGACTGATGGGGATGAGGAAGGCCACTTTGTCACCATGGTGGTTCATTGCCTGCCTGAGGTGGATCTAACTCTGACCTTTTGCATCTTTAGTGGTATAGGGGCTAGGTTTGGTTTATAGAAATGTGGTCATGACTTATGCCCAAGTGTTCTGATTGATGTTGTGTGTTTCCTTCTGATACAGAGCGGTATATTCTGCACGGGGATGAAATTTATGCCGTGCTAAACCGCCTGGTGAACCACAAGAAGAAACTGTTCCTCATCACAAACAGTCCCTTTAGCTTTGTGTGAGTACCATTATTGCTCATCAGTGGGCCACCATGGCTCAGTAAGAGCTGTGCAGGGCACTCCCTGGAATTTGTATGGGACAGGGGTTTGTGGCAGTAGTCATGGAACTCTCTGGGAACTGTTTGTGGTGAATGTTGCACCCACAGCATTGCTCTCACTTTTTGAAGAGGTTACAAGGCTGTGGCTGGTCACAACATTACCGAACTGACACTTTCTATTGCCTCTAGCAGTGTTTTCTGTATCACAGACTTCCAGCAGTGCAGGAGAAAGTGTGTGACAGCTTGAAACCAAGCACAACATCAATACTTGATACAGTGGGGCAGCCTTGGGGGGTTCACAAATCTGTTTTCTTCTGTTACTGAAATAGGAGTGAATTTGGGGCATACTGTTGTAAAGGTGCAGTGGTGGGTGAAAAAAGAGTACTGGATCTGTTAATTTTTCTGTTTCTTTGGCCTTAGGGACAAAGGAATGAAACACATGGTTGGCAAGAACTGGCGAGACTTATTCGACATGGTCATTGTGCAAGCGGACAAGCCCAACTTCTTCACTGACCGGCGCAAGTACGTGTGCAGGGCATCCTGCCGGGGGCTTGGGCCCTCCCTGCAGGGAACTGCTCCTCTGGCCTGCCAAAAGCAGTGGCTTGCTAAGCATAGTCTAGCTCCAGGAGGTATTCAGCCTTCCAGTGTTCTCTCAGATACTCTCTGAGGATTGACCAGTCTGGAAATTAGTGGATAGAATGTGTAGAGCCAAGCAGAAAACATGTTTCTAAAACTGGCATGAGAGATGACCATTTCTTGTCCTGAGAATATGACAAATTTTTTCCTTTTCCTCTTCCCCACAGCAAGTATCTGTGTGGTTTGTTTTTTGAGGTTTCTTGGGGTTTTGTTTGTATTGGATACATGTTTGGGAGCTGGCAGTTCTGCGTTTTTATGTGGCAGCTGGGTTTTGTGGTCAGTTAGGAGCTGCCAATAGGCTGCTGTCCTTATTTTGCTCTTTGGCTTCTTTGCTTTGGGTATTATGTCTATTAGGGAATTGGTCTCTTCTTTCCTTTTTGTGTCTTTTCCTCCCCCGCTACTCAGACTGTTGGCATATGCTGGAGTAAACCTATGGAATGGCTTTATAAGCTGTGCTGGCCTGGTAAAGGCTTTTCATGGGGTTGGAGATGAAGTGCTTTACAAGCACAGCTTGGAGCTATGATGATCTGACCCTCTTGGAAGTAAAATCTGCATCTGCCTGGTGCCTTAGATCCACTCATGGAGTGGAGAATGTCATGGCAAGCCCTCAGGAAAAAACAGGAGACAGCTCAGTTCACCTGGTGAACTCAGCATGGGGATTGCTTTCCATTTTCTCTGCAGACTTGCTTTATTCTATTAGGACGTTCCATGGTTTCTGTTGGGCTGGGACATAGCCTGGTTGAAAGAGCACACAAAGTGTTTCATGGTAAAGCCTTCTTGGTCTTGGCATTTCAGAAGGAGTCATAATGGTTATTTTCTTCCTCTCTGTATGTGAAAGCAAGAAGAATTGTTAGGGATTTTGACATGAAATGGTTACAGTTAATGGAAGCATTTTGGAAAGGTATTTCCCTTTCATACTTTCTCTTCCCCTGAGAAAATAGTGCAGAAGGCCCAGAAGGTCACTTAGAACTTATATAGAGCTTTTATTTTAAGTTGTTACATAGGTAAACAAGTTTTGTGATTCAAATGTTCTGGTTGCTGGGTAACAATCACCAAAAATCAAAAGAAGTTGACATCTCCCCTTGTTTTTTCCCAGACCTTTTCGAAAACTGGATGATAAAGGCTCACTGCAGTGGGACAAAATAAACCAGCTGGAGAAGGGAAAGATCTACAAAGAGGTAAAGTGAATGGGTGCAAGCAGGAGTCTGAAATGGTGGGGACCTGTAACACGCCTGCAGTTTTGGAAATCACTGGACAAACAGGACAATCTGCTTGGTCAGAGTGAGGGGAAATGATGGGTTCTGCTGTAGGACACATGTTCATGGTTGGTGTTTGGAAAGTAGAACACAGAAGTCCTTGAAAAGAGCATCTGTGTAGGTAGAGGGTGTTTGTAAGAAGACACGCTCTGGGCTGTGCTGACTGTGCCCTCTGTCCCCAGGAGCTCTTGCTGGCCTGGTAGGACACTGTCCCCCAGAATGCTTCCAGCATGGGCTTGGCACTAGGGATGGAAGGACAGAGACAAGTGGGAAAAGGCAGAGCAGGGCCAGGTAATTTAAGGTGTGGGGTACTTGCTTTTCTGCTCAAGGGAACCTGTGCTGAGTTACCTCTGCCAGGCTGGGTTTTCCCTGCTGCTGCCCTGTTTGTGTGAGATGGGATGGTAAGGAAGCATACCCTGGATGTGTGGGAGGGACCAGTGAATGTCCCCATGTACAATGAAGCCTTCACCCTGGGAGCTCTGCTTTGACATTGTCCAGCATGGCCAGTTGTGCACTTTTCCCTCAGCTCTTCTGATTGTCCTGCTCCTGGAGGGGCTCCCAATTGTGGTAGTTGGGGCTAAAAAGGCACAGCTCTCTGAAACCTGTTGTGCATGCAAAGATCTTCCACACCTCACTCCAAATTGTTCTCCATAAGTCTTGAAAAGGTGGACTTGTGTAAAGAAATAAGGAATAAAGAAGCAAAGGTGATCAAACAGGGTGCAAAGCATCAAAGAGAGTACCAAGCCTGGCTCCTGCTTCTCCCCTTCTGGAAGGACCATCATGTCTAAAGATGAGCTGCAGCTCTGGTGAACTTGCTGCCCTGGGTGTTGTTCTTGCAGCTGGTCTGTCCCCTGAGACAAGTTGCCTCTGGCTTTAGGACAGTTTGTTCTTGGTTATTCGAGCTGTCCAATCCCACGGGAAGAAACTGTTAGTGAGATTTCAGTCAATTAGCTGGGACCTGACCCGTTGTAGCAGAGTAGGTCATGTCCTTGAGTAGTGCTGTTGGGAAACCTCTGTTTGGTGGGTCTGCCAAAGTGCTGGGCTGGTGTCCCATCTTCTGCCAAGAGCTTGGAGCTGGGAACATGCAAGCAGAGCTCATTCCCAGTGGCTTAACAGCTCCCTCAGGAGAAAAGGCACACCTCACTCATGGAGTTCATTGCTGCATTAAATCCTGCCCTTGACCCACCTACATCTTTTGGCCACAGGTTGTTCACCCAAGTGCACTGAGAAAGGGAAAATGTGAGGGAGGAAGGTAGGCTGGGTAGGACTTTGGAAGAACTTCTCTCTAGTTCTCACTGTCATGTTTATCTGATTGCCTTTAAGTTGTTGCCTAGCTGTGGTTCTTAGGTTGTGACAGAATGTGTATCCTGGTTGTAGCCCACCCTCTTTCCAGGATTTTTGGTTTTTTTGAGTGTCATAATATGCTTCTTTCTGCCAAGTGTTACTGGCCATGGACCTTGCTGTGCTGGGGATGTTGCCAGAGGCTTCTGAGCTGTTCCTGTCCCCTGAAGCAGGGCTGGATGGTAGTTTTTTCCTGTGGGCATCCCATGAATGGCACCTCAGGGATTGGTGTTTTTCCCTAGGGACTGGGAAGTTGAAGTGATGCCCTCTAGCCCCTCTGTTCCACAATGTGGTGTTTTCTGTATGTGCCAAGTTTGTACTCCCTTCCATCTCCAGATCTGTGATCCTGGGGGAAAGGAGGGCAGGACATGGAGGTCTCAGAACAGGTCTGTGGCTCCATGGAGCTCCAAGCACAAATTTCCTGGCTGTCAGGTCCATTGCTGCTTGAGGTAACTGGAGCACAGCAAGAGGACTCTTCTCCTTCAAAGGCTGTACTCCATTTCCTTCTCTGCCAGTGGCTTCCTGGGCAGTCCTCATGTGAACAGCAGCAACGTTGTGTCTGAAAAGTGCAGAGGCTGCCCAGTCCTGTTTCTGTGCTGTTAAGTAAGTCTGCTCAGCTCCAGGGATGCTGCAGGAACAGAAGGCCCAGCACCCTGGTCCTGGGCAGCCTTAGCTGTGCATTCAGCAGCTGCCAGGGGCTGCCCTGTGTTTGGGGGCTTTCTGGCCAGGCTGGGGGTCATGGTTTGGGGTGCTGGGTCTCTCCTGGCTGGAGTCTGGCCAGAGGGATTGCTGCTAAGTGGCTCACAGGTTTGCACTCACTGCTTGTGCTGGTCTGCTGGTATTGATGGGGACATTTCCTTTCCTAGTGGGTTTTGTTTTCATGCCTTATGTGGAAAACTTGTGTGGAGATGGAAGGGTAGTCCCTGAAGTGCCTTCTGTGCATGTGTGGACATTTGGAAAGCTTTGAAAGCTGCTTGGTGCTGTGCTTTAGCTGGTGCTTTGAGGTTTGGTTTGTTTTATTCAGCTGTGAATTTGTGTAGGCTGCCTGGCTCTTTGGCTTGGTTAAACAATTCCTGTGGACACATGGGTGTTGTTAACCTTTGGGGTTGGGATGGTGGTCAGGGATGTAGAGCAGCTCCTGACTCCAAAAGCCTTGCCTGGCAGTGCTCACCTTCCCTCTGCTGCCCCCTGTGATGTGAAATCATTATCACCTGAGACCAACAACTTTTAAACTCAGAACCTCTGGGGTTCTTTCTGCCCATCCTCAGAGTTTTCTAATTTAGGTGTCTCTTAGCCTCTAAACTGCCTCCTTTTGTTGCCTTCTTAGACATGATGTCTTCTTGAGTTGCTGTGCCTTAGACCACAGAACTTCCCCTCAATTCCCTGTTTGCAGAAACTCTTTGGAAGAGTTTTTGCCTTTTTCTCTAGCCTTAAAAGCTGAGGGATGTATGGGGATTGTCACATGGGAAGAAAGTGAAGTGAGGTGGGGAAGGATAGAAACCCTCTGGGTGTAGATGGTGGGGCGGAGAGCAGGTTGACATCGATGAGAGTGCTCACACCTGCATGTGCCAAGGTGGCCTGTGCCCATGTTTCACTCTGTGCTCCTGTCACTTGCAGGGTAACCTCTTTGATTTCCTGAGGCTGACAGGCTGGCGTGGATCCAAAGTGCTCTACTTTGGTGACCATCTGTACAGTGACCTTGCGGTGAGTGAAATGTCTCTGCTCTCCAGTGAGGTGGGAGCAATCCCACATGGCTGCTGTGGCTGGAGATAAGGCAGGACCTGCTCTGAGTGTTCAGCGCTGTGCTGGGTGTCCCCCCCACAGGACACACAGGCTTCCCCACTGCTGTCAGACAGAGGCAAGCACTGAAGAAAAGGCTGCTCAAGTACTTTCTGTGGGTAAAGTGAATTTGAGAGCAGTTTCTATTGATCCCACCTTTTTAGGTGCTCCATGCAACTGATCCTAGTGACCAGGAGATGGTTGGCATGGGCCATGGATGTCTGTCCCCTGAGAATGCAAAATGGGAACAAACCCACTCTTCTAGGAACCAGGGTTGTGTTTGGCTTTCAGTCTTTATGTTGAATTCTTGGTTGTTTTTTCACCCTGACCTCCAGGACCTCATGCTGCGTCATGGCTGGAGGACTGGAGCCATCGTTCCTGAACTGGAGACGGAGATCCGGATCATAAACACGGAGCAGTACATGCACTCCCTGACCTGGCAGCAGGCTTTGACAGGGCTGCTGGAGAGAATGCAGGTAAACAGCTCCTGGCTGAGCAGGACAGGGTCTATGCAGCCTTCTGAGTCTGGATTTTGGGTTTAGCATGGGGATCAGGGGATATACCATCTTGCCTGCATCTCAAAAATATCTTGTCCTCCTCCTAGTGCAGTGGGCTTTGGGTTTGTGAGTTACAGTGGAAATTGCAGGGAGCTGAGGTATGGTCTTGGGGGACTGATGGATGTGATGCTGTCTTTGCAGATGTATCAGGATGCAGAGTCAAAGCAAGTTTTGCTGGAGTGGATGAAGGAACGGCAGGAGATCAGGTGAGCGTTTTCCCCCCCTCACTTGTGAGGTCTCTTAGGGGCTCCCAGGCCCTGTTTTGTAACCTGCTTTGGGGACAATGCTGCTGGACTCTGGTCCTGCCTCTGGGTGGGGGCCATGCAGCAGTGCAGTCCTGCAGCTTGGGAGGTTGGACTGATTTGAAGGCAGTGTGGGAAAGGGGAGTGCTGGGAGGGGTTGGTGGGCTGCCTGCTACTGCAGTTCCCACAGCTCCTGACGCTGCCCATAATGGGTGGAGTAAAAGTACACTGGATATTCATCAGTCTCACTGCACAGGGACTGGTCTGCGCCAGAGCCTCGGGAGGGTGTACTTGGGGTGATCCCTGAATGTCCAGAGAGTGGAGTGGCCCAGGGCTAAGGGAGTGGGAAGAATCTGTGACCACAGGTTTAGCTACAGAACACCATCTCTGTCTCCTCAGGTCTCTGACGAAGAACCTGTTCAACCCCCAGTTTGGAAGCATCTTCCGCACCTTCCACAACCCCACGTACTTCTCCCGCCGGCTGGTGCGGTTCTCTGATATCTACATGGCTTCCATCAGCTGCCTGCTCAACTACGACGTGAATTTCACCTTCTACCCCCGGCGCACCCCTCTGCAGCACGAGGCTCCGCTCTGGATGGATCAGCTCTGCACAGGCTGCATGAAAACCCCCTTCCTGGAGGAGATGGTGCACATCCGGTGAAGGGCAGGTATTGCAGGCAGCAGCAGCACGGCCGGGGCCGGAGCGGGGCCGGCCACTCGGCCGGCAGCACCTCTGTCTACCACTAAAGGGCGTTTGACACTTGCGTATGTGTGTAGGTGGTGTGTTTATTTTCTCCCTTCACTGGCTCCATCCCTTTCCCTGAAGTGCAGTGCAGGCTGGACAGAGGATGGGTGCTTGTGCAGGGAGTCCTCTCTAGGAGTAGGTGAGATGGAGGGGCCAATGCTGGTGGTGGGACCCTGTCCCTCCCTGCTCTGTGCCCACACAAGTGGCTCAGGTATGGAGCTCCATGACTCCAGTGCTTGGTGACAACAACCCATGGGAGGTGTGACTAGGTGTGTCAGGTCTGCTGCCCCCATAGCCTGGGACTGCAGCATGAGTGATTCTGCAGATGGACAGGGAGGGTCAGGGCTGCCAGCTGGGCAACCACTCAAGCCCAGCAGTGAGTGCATCACCGGACAAAGCAGCAGCAGCAATACCTGTCCAGCAGCCCTCAGCCCCATCCTGCTCCCTACCAGACTGGTCTGTGCAGCTGGGGACCTTGTTAGGTCACTGGGCAGGATGTGCAAGCCTTGGGTGTGGGAGTAGGTCACAGGGTCTCAGAGTTACTGTCTGGGGACATGGCTGCTTTTTGAGAAAGCTAAGGCTGTACACTGTTGGTATTTTTGGGTTAGGTGCCATGTGACATCACTACTTTGGCAATTGATGTGGTGTGGTGTGCTGTGGGGTGCAGAGGGATGTGTTCAGCCCTCCAGGGAAGGTGCAGGGCTGGCAGCAGAGGTGGTGACTGTCCATCGGTTTGCTGAGATGTGGCCTAAGGTGGCTGGAGGGGCAGGTGAGGATGTTTGGGGAGGGGTGTGAAGTGCTGTGGGGAGCAGGGCCAGACAAAGCCCTGTGGTGCCTCCTCAGCAGGAGGAAGAGCAGAGAGATGCTGATGCCAGAGTCCATAGGAAGAGACAAAGGAGGCCCAGGAAGGTGAGAGCTGATTTAGGATATGAGGTGCAGAAAGGTGGGCTCTGCACCTGGCTCAGGACCTTGCTGGTCCTGTCCAGGCTTCAGATTGTCCCAGGGCCATGCAGGATGTTGGGGAGGGGTAGAGGGCAGGTGAGGTGGAAAGGAGGTGTAGGGAATTTGTGCCACTCTGATACTGGTTGGCCCCAAGAGCCAGGAGCTCATGCCCTCATTGTTGGTGTGTGGGAAGTGATGGCTATAGGATGAAGGGGTGGCAATACTGATTGTCTTGGTCCTCCTTCTCTTCCCTCACTGCTGCACCATTAACAGATGGCAACAAGTGTGACAGTGCCAGCTTGCTCACGGGCAGTCAGTGTTGCGGGGACAGGGAGGAGAGAGGGGACAGAGAAAGGAGGGCCTGGCACTGAGCAGGCACAGAGGAAGTGAAGAGTTACTGCAGTGGGTAAGGGCTGTGGGTTTGGAGGGAGCTGGGTACCAGGGGTGTATGAGCACTGGGCTGTGGTGATGGCTCCAAGTGGAACCAGGGCACTGTGGAGGACCCTGTGCCAGGACCTGTGGCTCAGAGAAAGGTGCTGTGTGTGTCAGCAACCCTCAGCGAGTCTCGCACACATACACACACACACACAACACACACACAGTCTTCTCCCACCTGTTCCTCCCCTGTGCTGTGCCAGGCTGGCCTGTCAGTCTGTCACTTGTGTGTCACTGCCTTGTCTTTGTGCCATGTGCCAGCCTGTCGCACACTTTCAAGATGCCTTGTGCTCAACTCAGTGGCTTGGACAATCTGTTAACGTGGCTGTTCTAATCAAACACCTGTAGCAGGTGCATGTTCACTTGTCTTTGTGCTGTGTGTAGTGTGTAGCTCAATAAATGTCTGCAGCACGTGTAACTAACTGACTAACCGCTCCCTGCGCTCCGCGGGGCTCCTCTGCCTGCCCTGGGGCAGGACCACGGGCAGCCTGGGCTGAAGAGCGAGGCTGAGGGGTTCAGCGCGGAGCCGTCGGTGCCCGTACAGCGGTGGTGCAGGCAGGGGCACCCGGGAAGGGTGTGTGGGGTGGTGACTGCCGAGCCTCGTACCTGGCCGTGGGGCAGTGTGCGGGCACAGGAGCGAGGCCCGGCGCGCCCCGGGGGATGCCGCGGGCCGTACGTCCCTGGGAGCGGCCGAACTGGGCTCTGGCTGCTGCGGGTTTGGGCAAGCACCACCTCGTACGGGGCCATAACGGGGGGCTGGAGCTCCCACCTGCTGGGGGCGGGCGGTGGGAGGCCGCGGCCGGGGCGGCGAGGCAGGCGCGGGTACAGCCGGTGGCGCTGAGCTGTTTTATTTCCCCGCGGTGCGGTGTGGTCGGGGCCGCGCGGGGTCACTGCGGGAACCCGCGGGGGTCGGTGCCGGCGTCCGCCAGGGGCGGGTCCTGCGGCGGAGAGAGCGGAGTCAGCGCGGGGCGGAGAGAGCG